GTGGGTGGTAGGGCAATCATTTCAGGGGGCACTCCAGTCCTCTGGTCTCCATGGCGAACATAGGGGCCCACCAGAAGCCCAGGGATGGCAAAGAATGGAGCTGGCCCATGCAATGGGAGTTATGACATTCCACGCAGGTTCCGCAGGGCAAATCAGGGCTTGTATATTTTGCTGCTGCTGGATTTGTGTGAGACTGCAAACAATTCCATGCAACTTTCCACAACAGTCAGAGGGGCTGAAATTGAATACACAGGCAGATCGAGCTTCTGAAATCCTAGTTCTCTAACCAACGTCTCCTAGGTTGTCTCCAGACACCTTCAATGATGCCCCCCTCGTTATCACACACTATACTGCTTCCATGTACTTTCCCAGCTGTGTAGAGTTCCCACACTCACAACAGAGTACATGCAGCCTCCTTATGCACCAGCAACCTCTCCAGCGCCCATTCAGAGGTAAGGCAGACCAGCTCTCCATTCCCACCTTGTACGGGATGTCTGCATATTCATCCAAGAACATCTTTAGCTGGCTGATGCAAATGCGGAGGTCTCCATCCGTGAACTCGTATGGGATATTGAACCCCAGTGGCCCAAACTTCCGCCGCTCCAGGGCATTACCATGGAACAGGCAAAGTGACAGCAGCAAGGCCTTAAACTCGGAGATCTACAGGACATGGGGACAATAAGAGGAGCAAGTGTTATTTGACCAGTGGTTGGCTCTCTCTTTTTGGATGAGATATGTATGCTCTTAGGCACATCAGCAGGCGGAAAGCTGGAAAGCTAAAGTGCCCAACCTGCTGATTTCAGAAGGCTGACAAGGAGCCCAGCCCAAAGGTATGGAATATTGGCTCTGGCTATGCCATTTGGGAAAGTCATGGTCCAACATTTTCAAACGTGAGTGTCTAAAGTTATGATTCTAAATATGGATATGAGGGTGAATTGTAGACATCTCAGTTTGAAAAGGTAGGCCACAATATTTCCAAAAGGCCCCAGAGTTCCTGCTGTTTGAAATATGTGACGGAACCCATATTGCTGAGGTGCCATGCCAGGAGAGGGACACTCAGCCCATAAGGCCCTACAAAACCAGTGTGCTCCTCAGTGATCCAATGGCAGCAGGAAGAATGAATCTAGCCAAGTGGTCCAGGCAGAGAGCTGGGGGAAAGGACGTGGTTCTTACCTTGGAGCAGGAGTTCAGGAAGTCATCACTCAGGCTAATATAGGACTTCAGCAGATTGGCCTTGACCCCTCGGGGGGGCTCAATGGTCATCTTGGAGCCATTCTGGAGGATGGACACTGGGAACTGGTTACTGGGTAAACTGGTGAGCCAAAGGCGAAAGTCACGGTGCACCTAGACAATTAAAGGGATTGTAAGTGTGCTGAGGTTAAGTTTAAGATACCTGTTTACTAAGGAAGTTTAGTGGAAGCCTTCTTAACTGGAGGTCCTCCTCCCTCACTACCAGGCAACGCTCTTTCCAACTCAGATGGAACAAACCTCTCCAGAGGGATCCATTTCTCCTGAGATCCCCTGTGCTCAGAACCACTGAAAACTCTTTCAGCAGAGATGCCCTGCTCAACTACCCAGCCGCATGAAAGGCTTTTCTGTTGACGAGCAGACCTATCCCAGTTAGATACCAAGATGTGTGGCACATTGTTATCGCCCAAAGTTCTAATACAATGCAATAAGCTGCCTGCCAGATTTTAAAATGGGTTTTTATTAATAAATTAGGGTAATCCATCAGCTAGAAAAATTCTATTGCTGTCACATGGTGGGCACATCTCTGGTGGTCATCGCCAGGGTGGATGTAGCTGCTGGAAATGGAGCAGTTTTTCTGTATCACGCGTGAGCAGTTTGAGGGCAAAGAGCAGAAACACTCAGACACAGTCAGTCATCAAAGATAATACGACAGTCTATGAGGTAGCTACATCTCTGCCTGTTGATGGCTTCACAAATTAGGACTACTACTTTGAATTCATGACATGGACAGACCTGACCTAACTAGAGAGTTAATGAAGAACCAAGCAGTGGGTGAATGAAGTAGTCCCTGCTCAGTATCACTAGCAAGATTCGAAGGTAGGTAACTGCAGTCCAACCCAAATGCAGCTTTTTCAGTGAGCAGCCTATGGCTCACTGGTATCTGTACTAGACTGTGGTAAGAAGCAAGCATCTCTGGATAAGGTGGGTGCGAGCTGTTTGCTCAGAAGAACAAAACAAATGAGAAACTGCCACCAACAATGGCCTCTGTCAGGCAGCTCCTGGAACATGCAATTTATCAGTCACACATACATTGGATTGGGGCTAGATAGCACAGGACATCTTGTTCCTAAAATGACGGTGCCACCACCTGCTCCAGAAGTCATCCTCGTCTTTGTGCAACGTGGCTTTGAGAGTACCCGTGCAACAAGGAGCTGCAAATGCCGCAGGAAGACTTGGTGTGCTCCGATGTATGCAACTGTAAGTGATGAGAGTAGCAACAGAGTATTGAATGCATTGGATACAGATTCTGTGGGGGAGTAGAAATGTTTCAACTATCTGCCGATTACTGTGGCTACTTTTGTGAGTAAATATAACTCGAGGGGGTGTTGCATTAGACATTCAGTAGCTCATAGTTAGATGTAGGGTTATATAAGAATGTATGGTTATATTTTGTTATTCAGATGCTATATTTTTACAAGACATTCTACAGTCCTTCTACTAGGAGTCATTTCCGTTATATAAGTAGTTTACATGTATTGCTGCATTCAATAAGTAGATAATTACAGTTGTACCATGTGTGCTTTAGACTGGTCTCCGGTTGAGCAAAAATATGTTTTATATTAGGAGGTAGGTGTCTTCTTATCTGCATAGCTTCCTAAAAATCGCAGACAGAAATTTTTTTCTCAAATCAGTCCACTCTACAACAATGGCAAATATTTTGATGCATTACATGGTGGAAACAAGCTCATATTGTCATAACCAATGGCACAAAAGTACGGGAAAATGCATAAAATCATTGGGGCTAAATATTTCCCAAACTTTCCCAAACTGTATTATTTTGAATACATAGTTGCATTATCAATTAAGCTTCCTGCTCATTTTGCTCAAAATTAAGCTATGTTTCTATGAGTTATGGTCCTTTCTGTGATTTTATGATTCTTTTCATATTGGATGCCCGATAACATTTAAACATTACGTGATATAGAAAAACTGCTTCCAGCACCTACAGTCCCCTTGGTGATGACAACAGGATATGTGCCTAACATGTGGTAACAATTAAATTTTTCTAGCTGCTGGGTTTCCCCTTAGTGCCCCAAATGGGTCCAGGCTTGTAGACTAAACAGATCCACTGGAGGCTTTTCCACTGGACATGGGCCTCCTGCTATTGTGCTCCTTGTAGTGTTGTAAGCTACTACCCACTCTCTAGCCAACCCAGGCAGCTCTTTGTCATTGGAGAGGCTCTCTGAAGAGAGAAGACAGATCTAGAGTGACAAGTCCTGGCCATCATTCCTCCATCAGATCAGTAATATCTGTAATTTCCTTAAGAGGGTTGGTGTAAGATAGAAGCTTCAACTCCAGGCTGGAAACGTCAGCCAGTGATTATGACAGTAAAGGGGTGATGGCTTCAACCACAAGGCAAATGAGTGACCAGGACACCAGTGCAATGTTCCATCAGTGGGATGGAAACAGCGGGTGGAACTGGGAAGGTGATAATGGAGGGAGGGTACTTAACTGGACTGGCGGAGGAGGAGCAATTATCGTGCCATCGAAGTGATGTCCCTGAGTTGATATATGAAAAGGTAAGTGTTAAGAATTGTTAACATTGGGCTGGAGGAGGAGGTGTGCACAGGGCAGCAGTGCATCATGGGACTGGTGAGCACATCCTACCAAATAGGCAACTAACCCTGCCCACACTGAATGGGTGTAGGAAAAAAGATCACAGGATAAGATAGTCTCCTTCCTGGTCCAGAGGAAGCTGGGTAAAGCTGTGGAATAAAACACCAGGCTGAAATTCAAGGAGAACATCCATGTGTGTGTTTGTGTAACCTTGTCAGGATTGATGCTCTCTATGAGTCTCTCCAGCGAAGGCATCCAGCTTGGGGCTAAGTGGCAGTTCTGGAAGAAGACCCACTTCCCACGTTCCATAGCACTTCGCATCATAGCCTCGGCTCGGGGACCCTAAGGAAGAAAACCAAAATTCCCCAACTTTACCATACCTACTGTATGCTATATGGTTTGTTAGAATGACTGCATGTGACATCAGTGCTCAAAGACATTCAAACCATTTAAGCTACTTTTCCACTCAACTGTTGGTCTGATGCCCACATAACCAAATGGCAAAATTCCAACCAAACCAGTGTCTCAGAAAAGCATCTTAACAATATAAGAGGGACATAGGCCACAGTTAAGTCTATGCCTGAAGTTAGTTTTGCTTTCCACGTGCTTTTATAATGAAGGGTTTTTTTAAAAAAAAATCTGCTCCAAAAGAGAATCGGAGAGAGAAACTACAAACGTCCAACTAGAGGCATTTCTAAGCCATTGAAGAAATGTGAGTGGATGTTGCGCTGAATGAATCCCTCAAGCCACTAAGAACCTCTGCGACCGGCTGGGACCAAAGGGGGCGTTTTCAGAATGGTGGGCTAGGATTTGGTTTTCCTAGAGTAAACCCTTGTGTACTGAGATGACTATATTGCTCAGAATGAATGAAGTGGAACCAGTGAATTACCTGACCCTGGCCCAGGGAAATAGCCGACAGCTTCTTGGAGAACTTCGTTTCTTCAGCAAATTTGTAGAGATCAGCAGCTGGGTCTGTCCCAGGTGAGAGCACGAATATCAAAGGCGTAGTAGAGGTGGACTCTTTGAACACTGCAGTGAGGTCTGAAGTCTGAAAGACAGGAAGGCTTCTCGCTCAGAGTAATATCTGATGACCTGCGCTGGGGAGGGCAAGCAAAGGGAGAAGGCATTCTCTCAGGTCCAACGGCCTGCCTCTGCCCCTACGTTCACTGTCATGTCTGTCCTCAGGAATCACAGTTAGCCTGATGAGTGGAAATAATCTGTTCTAGAGACAGGTCTTTGACCCAGATAATGCTTCAGGAGGCCGAGTGCAGAGGCCTTCGTTTCCTCCTTTTTTAACTTATTTGCCACTGTATCCCTGGGGGCCTGATCCAAAGCTCAAGGAAGCCAAAGGGAGTCTCTCCATTGATTGTGGTGGGTTTTGGATCAGAGCGTTGGTCCCCTTCCATTCCTTAGTTATCCACTCTAACTCCTTCCTCCTTTCCCTGCATCAGTCACTCTCACTCACCCTGTGGGCAATGTCTTCCACCACCATATGCTCCAGGAGCCCTTGATCTCCTCCTCCTGTTGCCTCCAGTGAATCGCTGCTTGGTACCACCACTGAAGCCCCTCTGAAAATCCAGCCCCTTTTATATGGATTTAGGTGCCTAACTCTGGGCAGCCATATTTGAAGATTGTGGCCCGATGTGTAACTGGTTTAAAATGGTGCATTTGGCAGGCAGACAGCTACCCACACACTTCTGCCCAGACACGTCTCTTTTACCCTAATCAGACGGAAGCCATTGGCTGACAAATGGGAATTCCTGCATTCTCTTTACAGAATGCTCTCGAAAGGGTGGTTTGAACTGCTCGATGTTAAAACTAGCAAGCAGACGATATGTAACAACTGCTTCTTAGTCTGCTACCCCTGGCTCTGCCAGGGCTTTGACACTGGGGGCCCAATTTGTAAATATGGGGATACTTCTCATAAGATGTTAAAATCCCAGCTTTGGTTGCTGACTGGCATCAGGTGCATAAACCAGTTACTAAGACCTGCTGTACATTGGAAAGGTGTCCTGGTATAACTAGGGCAGTTAGGGGTATGATTGTTTACAGACCTAGGCTATGTCTACACTTCTGGCAGCCGCTAGTGTACAGGTACTACCCTTAAATCAGAGTGAATACATGAAGACTCGGCACCCCACTTCTGAAAGGTTGCTGACCCCTGCTATATAGAGTACAGACCCTAATAGTTCAGGCGTGTAGGGCACTTACTCTCCTCTACTCGCCTAAGCTGGGCCTCACCGCCTAGACTGCTATCTATACCTGTGTTAGCTGGGCACGCAGTGTCTCTACTCTACGCACAGCCATAATGGTAGACGTACCTTAAGTTAGATCAGCACGACCCATAGTATGGATGCAGCTATATTGGTATGAAGAAGCCTTGTAGCTGTATAGGTTATTTCCCTTCCTATATGAGAACAGCTATAGTATAAAGCAACTTCATAATGGTATAAATGCAACCACACTAGTGGGGTCATTATCCTGGTGTAGTTAAAGCACTACAGCTTTCTAGTGTAGACAAGACTGTACATGCCTAAATGCTGCTTTGCTCTCCCAAGTGATCTATTACGGATGCTGCATTGGAAAACTCTGCTCTGCACAATGTTGACGATGACGATGCTGCTTTGCATTTCTATGGCATCTTTCACCCACCTCTCTCACACGGCTTTCAAAAGGCTGGCAAGTACCTACCTTTTCCAGATGGGGAAACTGAGGCACACATCGTTCCCGTGATGTGCTCAAGTTCTCAGAGCAAAGTGGAGAACAGAATCTAGGCCTTCTGCCTTCCTAACCTCCGCTGTAACCTCCAGCCATGCCTCCTCTCTGCCTTTGATCCTACTGGGTCAAGGGTGGGCAAACTATGGCCCGCAGGATCCAGCCCGCGAGCCATTTTAAGCCAGCCCCCAGTGCGCAGGATCGGGGCTGCACCAAGTGGCTCGGCCCCACTCCAGCCGGGGCGCTGGGTCGGGGGCCGCACCACGTGGCTCGGCCCCACTCTGGCCGGGGTGCTGGGTCAGGCCCGCACCACGCGGTTTGGCCAGGGTGCTGGGTCTGGGGCCACACCCCTGAGCCTCTCCCCATGCCAAAACCCTCTGCCCCAGCCCTGATCCCCCTCCCGCTCTCTAAACCCCTCAATCCCAGCCCGGAGCACCCTCCTACACCCCAAACCTCTCATCCCCAGCCCCACCCCAGAGCCCAAACCCCGTCCCGCACCCGAACCCCAATTTTGTGAGCATTCATGGCCCTCCATACAATTTCTATTCTCCGATGTGGCCCTCGGGCCAAAAAGTTTGCCCACCCCTGTACTGGGTAGTTTTCAGTGTATGGTTGTTAGTTCCAGATTAAGAGTAATTCTGAGGTTAAAGGGCAGTGGGTGGATCCATCACCACCCAATACTCAGTGAGTACAGACAGTGTGGCTGGTGAATAGAGCACTGGACTGGGACTCAGGAGGGCTGGATTCTATGCGTGGCTCTGCCACTGGCCTGTCGACCTTGGCCAAGTCACCTCACTACTCAATGCCTCAGTTTGCCCATCTGCAAAATGGAGATAATGACACTGACCTGCGTTACAAAGGGTTTTGAGATCTATTGATGAAAAGTGCTGTGTAAGAGCTAGGCATTATTTAAACAAGAGATGTTGTAAAGCATCCATTTAAAGCTAAATCAGCATCTGCCGCTAGCCTGGCTGGGGTGATCAAGGGCAGCGCGCAGTCGGTTTGCATCATTCCCATCCATTCTCAATGGAAATGCCTTCTGCCATGGCATTATCTTGGCCAGTTACCTGTGGTTCGATAAAGCGCTGGTCCAGATTCATGGCCACAAAATCCTGCATGGCGTTGGTGACCTTATCCCCTCGCAGGCAGCGTAGGGGCAGCAGCTTCTGGAAGGAGTCCAACGTGCTGTCCCACTTCCCTGGCATGGGCTCTCTGCAAGAGAATCACATGCTGACTTTGGGTTACTCTCTGGGGATGGGACAGATGCCAAATACATCAGCCCAAGGAAAACAAGTCTCCTAAAACCACGTGAATATGCACCAGGATTTTTTGAGATCATGTGTGGTCAGTGCCTGGATTTTAGTGATTCTTTTTCCAGGCAATATGGCTGTATTATTGTGGGAGAAGGGTCTGTACTGCCCACCACGCAGAGACAGAATTCAGATCCACAGTTAAGGGATGAAGGACTCACCTGTGCGGCTCAGCACTGTCAAAAATTGCACGGAACTCCTGGATATTGTCAATAAAATCATCCGCAAAGCTGGAGAAATTCTTCAGGTTGGTTAAGGCCAAGATGTCACCCCACGCTCTCTCATACAGCCACTCAGGAGCTGGGTTCTCTCTCATCGTTTTAATGGCACCTCCAGACAGGAGGTAACGCCATTCGTCCTGTGGACCACACAGCACACATTTACAGCCAGCCTGTTCGGCCTTGAAGATCTCAGCATCATACTGTGGGACACAGTCACTACTGCGTGTGGCCTTGCTGGGGCATGAAGAACAGTATGAACCAAAGGAGGTGAACCAAAGTAGGCCTGCCCTTGGCAGAATAGCAACACACCACATATTAGCTAACCAAGTAAGCACAATCCTGGCCTGAGAGGACATTTTGTTCGAATGAGCAGGTACAAGATACAGGATAGTAATGACACATGGAAAGTAATATGTAACTTGTTCATATCAATGTATAAAAGGAGAAGTCACAGGAGGGGCATCTTTGTATCAGCGTAGGGGACAGCATCCTGTTATGCTGACTGAGTCTTTACCTTGTGACAGGCATACATGTGTTAGTGTCCCTGTGACCTGCAGCACAGGGCGCAAATACCGTGCTTTGCTGACAATAAACCTGGCTGATCGCCTTTGCCACCGAACCAAGCCTGGTATTCATAAAGAAAAATCACATCGAGGTCCGCTGAATCAGCAAGCTGCACTCTTTGCTGCTGCCAAGTACACAGGAGCCCCCAAAACCAGCAGCAATAGCAACACCCCACAGCACTAACACTATGTTAAAGAAACAAAGTCTTACAGTAACTTAATGCTGTGTTTCCCTGCCTTACTGTTCCAATCTAACAGATGCATGTGGTAAGTGACAGATCTGATTATACAGTCACAGGATCAGATCATTAGATTTCCTCCACAGTGCTCTGCCAATGCACCTCAATCCTCATCTCTCTAGGATTTGAGAAAGTCTACTACATTCCCTAGAGACCCTACAACAGGATCGGCAAATGGGTGGTTAATTCCCTGCTACAGAGTCCTGTTTTATGAGCAGATGAGGTGGTTTGGGATCTGATTGTGGCACAAGGGGGTCCACTGTAAAGTTCACTCAGCAGCAACGCATAAAGCAGAAAGCTAATTAACAAGGCAAGAAAAGGAAGGACACTGACATCTAACCTGGAAAGAAAACCGCAAGTCCTATTTTGAGGAGTCCGGTGGCACCTTAAAGACTAACAGATTTATTTGGGCATAAGCTTTCACCCAAATAAATCTGTTAGTCTTTAAGGTGTCACCGGACTCCTCGTTGTTTTTGTGGATACAGACTAAAACGGCTACCCATCTGATACTTAGTCTTATTTTGGTTAGCCCATTTTCTGTAAAATCCCTTCTCTTTAGCCAGATTCATCTTGATCTTCCTGGAAGCAAAACTCTGTATGAAAGCCCAACCCTTGCATAACCCTGGTTATTTAAGCGTGGTAAGACACTCTACCATCTGCCAATCCTCTTGTGAAGCACTGAAAAGCTGTTTTAATGGGACAGATAGCAGATCATCCATGATGAGCCAGAATCGATCACCCTGAATTCCCTTCATTTTTGTCACAGCCAAATACTGGAGAAAGGTGTGTGTTGTAGACTAAATTACCTAGAAGAGACCCCTGGAGATTGAACTCCTGTTTTGATGTATGAACATTTGTAAGATTCAGAACATCAACCTAACAGATGACCAGGATGAGTAACTCTTCCCTTATGAATAGAAACTTGGACAGATAATCCAAATCATCAGACCCTGGTGGAGAACCATCTGTACAGACAAAGTACGCTGGCTCCCAGTTTCAAGAGTAGGAGCAGTCTGGACTTTGGCTGTCCCAGGATATCCTCTCATTTAAACAGACGAAGGAGTTTGTTGTTTACTCACCATGTTGATTTTCCCTTCATTCATCATGATCCGGACACACAGCAGAAAGGCAAACATGAGCTTGTGCTTCTCAAAGAGACTGCGGCACACATTGCTGTAGAGACTGAAGGTGAGGTAATTGTTTATGTTCACTATCCGCTTCTTCAGGGTGTCTGAAAAGAACCAGGCACAGAACAGCAATGCTGAGAGTGGAGAAGAAAGGACCCACACTTGGTACTGACACGGCCCTTTGCCAGCCGGGCTCTGGGTATGTTTCAGTGTATGAATGTAAACTATGCAGGGAGCTCACATCCCTCTTAGCCCCTTCCTGCTGTCAATCTCAGCTTCCTTCAGATCTGGCTCAGGAAAGTTTGCTCCTTCACAAGGAACAGTGGGGTATCCAAACCTGAGGGCACTGACTCAGGCAAACACTGATAAGAACCTCCAGATGTGGCCCATTATAAATACACTTACGATATTACTGTTAATTGCAGGTGCATAGAATATTGCTGTGGTATGTTAATGAACTACGCCCCCTGTTTACATCTTGGCACATGCATCTGGCCAGGATATCTGTGCTCTTCCTGGGATGTCAGCAAAGTGGCAGTGGCTGAGGGAGATGAATTTACCCTTGCATCAGTTTCAAGGTTACTGTGTGCTGCCAGTATTTTAAATGCCCTGATCCATGAAATTCAGTATTTCTAATTAACAGCAGCAGTCTGACCAGAAATTAAACATCTTTGCATGGGACTGGCCTGGTGGCCCAGAGGCAGGGAAAAATGCTGTCAGAGAGTGGATCAGAGCTTCTCTGAGCTTTGTCTCGCTCCTCAGAAAGTCATGCTGATGACTTCATGTTGATGGACATTGGAATGAGAGAACTGGTAGATGCTTAGGCTCTGAGAGGCACTCGAAGGGCTTAATAAAGTTTACTGCAACAAAAAAGCAATTCCCAAATGAAGGAGCAGAGACACTCACTGGTAAGGACAAGCTCTTTACCCCTGTTTTGTACCAGGTAATAATTTGGCCCTTCAGAAGAGAACCATTGGAGGAGAAAGATGCTCCCAGCCAGAGAAAATTCTCTCATGCTGGCAATGCCAAGCTAGCTGATGTAGGATGCCTCCATGTCTCATCTTGAATTACAGCTGTGTGTGTCTCAAAAAAGAAGTAACTTTCAAGCTTGACGGCAATGAGACCACATTCAAGCAGCTCTGGCAGTAAACAACTAGGGCCAGACTTAGATCCTGCATAAGCAGGTTTAGTGGAGTTGCAGCAACTCCACTAAACCTGCCTATGCCAGATCTAAGTCTCACACTTACACTAGGGCTGAATTTGCCCCCAGGTGTTGAGCAAAGTAGTGCAATGATCACATTTTCACAGCAAGCACCCTAACCCTTCAGAGGTACCTGCTCTCTCGGAGTTTGTGATTCCGGACAAGAAGATGTTAAGGAACCACTCGAGCGAATACTGATACATGGGGTCAACGTTGGACAGGTCAGAGACGCAGAAGTAAAGGATCTGAGTGCGGACAGCTACAGGCACGTACTCCAGACGAGTGATGTCGATGTCTTTTTCTGTCTGCTCGGCTATCTTCACTTTGGCCTGTGGGACCATTCAGAGGATCACAGCTGCACATTTCATGTTTCTGTAAAGGATTAAACTGACCAGGGCTGGGTGTCTGTGCCTGTGAATCAGTCACTTACCTGGATTTCCCCTGCTTTTAGCTTGGATGCCTCCAGCACTTTGATGAGCTCCAAGTCATCGACAGGATTTCCCTCGGAGGAGCTTAGCCGGTAGAGGATCTGATCCTCTATCTCCTTCAGCTCTTGTCGCATCTTGGCGTTGCTAATGATCAGCTGGTTCTTGGCCTCTTCTAAGTCCGGTCGCTCCTCAGCTACCACTTGTCCCAGCAACTGGTCTTCCAAGCCACTGTAACAAAACTCTTGGATGTTATTGCTGGGATGTCAGAGCATACCCCCAAGTTTCACCTTACTTAAAAACTACTTGCTTACACAATCAGACAAAAATACAAAAGTGTCACAGCACGCTATTACTGAAAAATTGCTACGTTCTCCTTGTTACCATATAATTATAAAATAATTTCAGTGTATAGTATATAGAGCAGTACAAACAAGTCATTGTATGAAATTTTAGTTTGTACTGACTTTGCTAGTGCTTTTTATGTAGCCTGTTGTAAAACTAGGCCAATATCTAGATGAGTTGATGTACTCCCTGGAAGACCTCTGTGTACACGTGGTTGAGAACCACTGAACTAAATGTCCCATCTCCTCTGGAGCCACATGGTGCAACTATCTATGGTACGTACATGGCCCCCATCACTATAATCCCTGAGTACCACACAAAACCCCAGTGTGGCAGAGAAAGGCTATTATCTTCATGAGCCACAGAGGATTTAGTGAAGACCCACTAAATCGATCACCAATCGCTCTCCCGTCGACTCCGGTATGCCACTGGATGAGAAGCATAAGGTAAATCGACGGGAGAGTTTATCCCATCAACCCAGCATGGTGTAGACACTGCAATAGGTTGACCTAAGGTACGTCGACTCCAGCTATGTTATTCACGTAGCTGGAGTTGCGTAACTTAGGTCAACTTAGCCCTGTAGTGTAGACCTGCCCTTAAGTCACTTGCCCAAGGTCAGGAAGTCTGTGGCAGGGCAGGAAATTGAACCCAGAACTTCAGAATTCCAGGCTCGCACCCTAAGCACAGGACCATCCTTACTCACTCCATGTTGAGTTTGATTTCAATAGCTCAGGAGCAGGAGAGTGGCCAATATTTGCAACTGTTCAGTGGCTACTGGTACAAAGGGGTGACCAGTTACCTGGGCGAGAGGGTGAAGTTAATCAGCGTGAGCTTGGTGGAGATCTCTGGCGTGTAGTGGGGATTGGGCAGATTGGTGGTAATGTACATCTTGAAGTCCTCATGGTATGGAATAACCGTATCGCCCAGCTTCAATACTGTGCTGCCTTGCTGTTTATAAGTCTGTAAAAAGAGGGACACGGACAACACAGGTCGGAATGTCTACATTTAAAAAACATAGATGTGTTGAGAGCCTGCCAAAGAGAGAGTCCCATTATTAATCTGGCTCCATTGCAGGCTGGCTAGATAAAGATTTTCAAAGCTATTTAGGAGATTTAGAGGCACAATTTCCATTAATTTGTACTGAGCATCTAAATTCTTTGCATCCAAAATCTCAACCTTACTAGACACATCTTCACTAAGGGAGGACAAAGCCGTTCTTCATGCCAGTGCTGGAGAGCCCACTCCACCCCAGCTCCAGGCCAGCCATCCTTCCTGCTCATCTCGTCAGACAAACAGCAGGGGAGAACCTGTTTCAGCAAGACGGGCTCGAGAGCCGGATCCAGTTCCTCCCCTACGTTCTCCAGCAGGAACGGCTTTCCGAAGCGAATGGAGTTCTCCAAGCTGCGCAGAAAGTCCCGGTCGCTCAGCTTAGCCACCTCCAAACCGTTCTCCTTCTCCTGAAGGACAAGATGGTGAGAGGGGAGTCTAGAGTGTAGGGATGGGCAAAGCAGGGGAGCCAAACTGCTTATGCACTTTAGGGCATGTCTACACTTACGGCAGAGTGATCGATCCACCGGGGGTTGATTTATCATGTCTAGTGAAGATGCGATAAATCGACCACTGAGTGCTCTCCCGTCGACTCTCCACAGAGCGAGAAGATGGGGGAGCGACAGCAGTCGACCTACTGCAGTGAAGACACCGCAGTAAGTAGCTCTAAGTACTTCGACTTCAGCTTCGCTATTTTCGTAGCTGAAGTTGCGTAACTTAGACCGACTTAGCTCACTCCCCATGTGTAGACTAGGCCTAAACAAATAACTGTGCTACTGCAACATTAAGATTGCAAATACAAAAAAAAAAAAAAAAAAAAAAAAAAGGAAGTACAAAGGCTTCATCTGTGTTACCTATCAGGACCTTGTAGCAAATGCCTACTAAGTGCAATGTGGCCAAGGTAATATGGGTATGTTTTGCATTTCCTGACTTCCTACTTTCATAGCTGCAACTTTAGTTGAATCCCTTGCCCTTCAGTGCTTAAGGGCTCAAAGATCTGCCTCTGACTAGCCTGCAAGGCAGGAGCAGTCAGGTGGGACTACAGAACCCTCCAGGGAGTAGAGGAGCAGCAGCAGCAGTAAGGAAAGTTGCTAAATCCCCTCCCCCCAACTCCACCACTTTAAAGCACCAGCGGCTCTCTCTGGAAACACTCTGCATGTACAGCAGTCTGGAGGCAGATCATATAGAACAAACTGCGTCCCGGCAGGCGAACACAAGACATGGTGAGTGCTTTGGTTCTAATAATAATACCTAGCTCTTATACACTTTTCATCAGTAGATCTTAAAGCACTTTACACAAGAGGCAGTATCATTATCTCCACTTTACAGATGGGGGAAACTGAGGCACAGAGCGGTTAAAGTGAGTTGCCCAAAGACACCCAACAGGCCAGGTCTCCTGCATCCCAGTCCAGTACATTAGTCACTAGGCCACACTGCCTCTCAAAGCCTGCAAGGGAGACTTCCTCTCTCCTCCCTGAGCTATCCTGCCACAGTTATGGTCAGGAAACGGTTTCAGGCTGGAGCCCCCTTGGTATAAAACAACAGGAGTGCTCAGTGAGGGCTCTGGACTCTTCTCCCACCTTAGTGAAAGTAGCCTGAATCTGTGGACCTTTAAGGCAAACTGCAAAGCCCATCTATTCTGCCTGACTCTGGGGTGGGTGAGGCTTTGCAGTGGTGGGCTGGATTTTTTCCTTGTCCCTTTCCTATAAAAATCCCACCCCAAGGGATTTAAGGCCTCTCTATACACAGCTCCACACAGAGTCTATTGTGAAAGGAAGGAAAGGAAGAGAGAGGGAGGGAAAAAAATAGAAGGAACCATTGGGAATCTTCTGATCCTGAGGCTAGAACAATGGAAGGATCCCAGCAAACTTGGCTACCCACTTGTCAAGTGAGGTAGAAGCCCTTACCAAGTTCTTGATCCATTTGTTGGCTTGTCCCTGGGGGTCTATGAAGTGAGTCCAGCGCTGTGAAAACTGTGTTATTACTCCATTCTCCACAGACAGGGTGTCATTAGGCAAGCCGGCAATCTGATCACAGCCGAAAAAGCACATCAGATGTCTAACAGCAACTGTGTCTTACAAC